TGGGGGCGGGTTATAATTAGGGGTAAGGTTAAGGATAGCATTAAATTTAAGGATGAAAGTTAAATTGATCGCCCACGTTAGATGCTGCAAGCTCCTGGTCCTGTGGTCACTTTCAGTTTTACCATTTTTAGTTCAGTTTTAGTTCTAGCACCGAACTTTACCAAAACGAACTCAATTACCTGTTCAAACTATTCTCAAAAAATGGTTACCTTAGGAAGTTTTTACATCGATGCATGAGACGACAAGAGTTAAAACAAAAAGAAAAGGAACTAGATTGTTCCGATCAAGCGCCCAATCCGAGAAGTTGGCGAACACTTTCATATAGTAAAAAAATTGGTTGAACTCGTTGAAAGACACCTGAGGAAGTACCTGATCGAAGTGGCGCACAGGCCAACGACCACACTTCGAAATCAGCTTGTATACTCGAAGGATAGGGTGAGCTATTTGGACAGAGAGGTCGTTTACAAAATTCCTTGCGGCGACTGCGATGCAATTTAATGTGGACAAACAGGAAAGTCCGCCTCTACACGCCTAAATGAACATCAATTAGCGGTTAAGAGGCGAGACCACCTGCCCCAAGTCGCCATACATTCGCTTGAAACTGGATACACGTTTGCATGGGACTAAACCCGCATTGTAGGCGCCTGTCCAGCTAGAGAAGGCTGTGAATTTAAGATACCATTCACTCTAATGACTCATGCATTAATCAGCACGTTGAATTAGATTCGGTGTACACCAACCTCAAAGAAGACTAAAAAAGGCGTCAACCAACAAAGCCTGCTATTGACCAAGGATGACAAAGAATTATCGATTTTTCGGCGTTTTTGAAAATGCGCACTGTTCTTTACACATTTCCCACACGTCCGACGCCGACCTGGTGCGTCAGAGTTGAACATTTAAAATAAAGTTTGTTTACGTTTCCCAGATAATTTCTTCTATCAAAATATACTTAAGTAACTACTATATACCAAACTATACTAATTAGAGTAATCTTAATTAAAAAAGACAAACTAAAACTAAAATTAAACTAATTTACATAATAATAAAATAAAACTAGACTAAACTAATACCAACGGTTCCATAGAATAGAATTCTAGGGTAAGGGGTATCTAACATTGGCCGCCGGTTTAGCTTTTACCGAGTTAAGATTTTCGTTACCGTTAAGGTCCGAGTTAGAGGTGGCCGCCCTGACATTTGGCGCAATTCCATATGTATTGGGAGAGAGGGGAGCCCATAACCGATATGCGACCAAGAAGTGTAGATGGGTCCCCATCGGTTGTTGGGTTGTTGTGGGAGCATTTTAATCACCGGAAGTTCATTTCCGGCGCGGTGGTGGTGGTGGTGGGGGGGAGGGGGC